CTGCCACAGTAATGATAAAAACAGATACCAAATACCAAGAAGAAAGCCCCGTTCTTATTATTTAAGCTGTGCCAGCTTAGCAAGCTTCTCTTCCTGCACACAGCTCCAAAGTCTCCAAAGAGTGTGAATCATATAAGCATATCAATTGCTTCTACTGAGTAAAGAAAAAAAGCTTAAGAGAAACACGCTGATGCTGAGGACCTATCACAACTCAAGGACAAAACATACAATTTGATGAATTATTAAATCCTTCAAGGCATTCAAAAGTTAAGCCAGTCTTATTCATTTAGGGCTTGGGTTATACATTGGCACCTGAGTAAGCAAAATCTCAAATGACATAGCTACATACAATGCATTTACTTGGAAAACGTTTGTTTTACATTGTCATTAAGCGCCGCATTAACTCCCCTTAAACAGAGGGGATTTGTAGGTCCTGCTTTCTGTGGCACATTTAGTGCACTACAACCACCAAACACATCTTCAGACTCTTCATGTGCCTCGTTGTGTTCCTAGACTTGAACTTAGTACCCGGAAATACATGAACATTCATAATTAGACTTGCGACAGAATGTGTTCGTCTTTTTGCTACCACAAGGCTGGAATGAGTCACAGAAACCACCATGCGCTACAGGAGCCACCATGCCCCCCACCACCCTCCCGCCACACCATTTTCTCCTGCACTTTATAAACCTACCCAGCATGCTCTAGTGTCTTATAGTAGTTCCCCCTGTACAGAGAAGGGCGCTGATTAGTCAGACTGGGGAAATAAATGGCTAATCACTTTCAGATAAAACATGTATCTGAGCAAATAGTCCCGAAAATATTAGGCAACGAACCAGTTGAATTAAACATCACATAGTTCCTCTACTGATTCATGTCCACATCCAACTCCAACCCAGGACGTGAAGCGAAGCATATAGGACTAGTACGCTGCCAGATTCAACTCAATAGACTGGGAGGAGGTGGGATAGGGAGAACTAGGCAGTGTATTGCTAGATGAATAAAAAATGAAAGTGTAGTGCTTCAGTAAATTCGCTCTCTCCATCCCGTGAAGAGGGCGGGTGGTAAAGGGGTGGGGGTGACGGTGGAGTAGAGGCTCGTTTGAAAACTGAACCAGTGCTGCATTCCCACATCCACCCGTATCCAGCGAGGGGCTCTTTAAAAATTCATTAATTTACAGCAAAAATAGATTAAAGCACCCAGCTGAGCAAAACTCAAAATTTGGCTCCCGAATAACATTAATGATAAAACATCTCCCTCAAGCTCGGGGGGAGGGTTGCCTGAAGAAAGAGTGCTGGCTTTTTTCACCTTACAACACCTTGAGAATAATTTATTTTCAATCATTACTAAAATAATGCGTTTCTAATTGTCATTTTTAATTATGCTTTTCTTCGGATGGGGAAAAAAAAAAAAGAAGAGCTGAGCAAAAACCTGCATAAACTAATTAAAATCCATCCAAGGACCTGTCATTCCCATGGTGCTATAACCAATGTCATTCTATTCAGCGCTTGATATCTCAGCTACAGAGACTCAATGACAGCTGCTCAAGGCCTCCAAAAAATGCCTAGAACTGCAGTTACAGTAATTGCTCTGGCCAGCACTAAATGAGGTTCACTTAAGTGCAATTATCCCCCTCTGATCTCTCACATAAAGAGACTTCTTTAACATGGAGAAGTGGGCTCACACAATGTGACTGCAAACAAGATTCAAATTGGAATCAGGGAGGCATTTCCAGCAGATGAATGGCTTCATAGCTCATCTGCATTCTAGTGATGCACAGCGTTGCTAATGAAGACTGAGCCAGTCCCATCTCACCACCACAGCTTCCATAGGAGCAAAACTTCTCACCGGCTGTAAGCAGAGTACGGGGAGAAATTTCTAAACGAAAAATGCTCAGTCATTTGGCCTGAGCCGCATTTAGAGGACAGCCCAGCCTCCATGCAGAGTAAACAGCTGTTGGAAAGAAAAGGAAGATTTTTTTTTTTGCCAAATCCAAGGTGAAAAACACACTGAAGGACAAGATGAAGTGAAGAGAAAGAAACTCCAACTTAAAATAACTACACATTTCAGCGCAGAAAGGAACTGAAACAAGCCCACTTTTTCACCTTTTTTTAAGTCATAAAAATACTAAACGGAGGCCTCTGACCAATGGCATCACCACTACAACATGCCAACCGCCGTCCTCATGAATAAAATGCCATGTGCCAATCGCATAACACAATAGGTTTTCAGCCTGAGGGGTAAGATGTGGCAGTCTAATAGGGGTTGCTACATAGGGTAGGCTACCTTTTGGGTGCTGTCCAACTGCACAGAGTAGGGTGGGAGAGGGGCTGTGATGGGCATTCAAGTTGCCACAGGCTCAACCACCACCAGGAGTCTGATAACTGCATCTCACGGATGGTCATTTGAATAATCACTTCAACAAGGGGAGAAATTAAAAAGCCTCTCAGTGAGGGCCAGGCACGGAGCCACATCCTGAATAACAAATGAGGAGCTTGTACTCAAAAAGTAGAAACCTGTTCCAAATTCACTCGACTATACTGACCTTTGACATGAATCCAAATCATCATGTCATGTCATTATTCTCTTTTGTCTATTCAATTATACACCATCACTCCCAAGATGAACATTACCTGTGACACAACGATGAATGTCAACATCTGTTTACACGTAGTTATTCTATATTCCCTGTCTCTTATATATGATGTCACTTTTCTTCAGTGATTATACATAAATGTGCTGCTGGCGCCACACACACACACCCACCCACACACAACACAGGAAGACCTTGGAGAAGTAGGTGTCATGTTTTTAAACCATTAAGCAATAGACCAGTGCAGGCTGAAACCGCCATTAAAGAGAAGCTGTATCACATTCTCCCATTCACACTTTTAAATGGTTACTATGAGAATAAACAACTGTGTAATCTTCTCATTACTTTCGTCGCAACTATTCAGTCCATTCATCAAAACCTCAAGGTTGTTTTTTTTTTTTTTTTTTTTAAAGGATCAATAAAAAGTCACTCATTTGTGATTTGAGGTAAAATAGCAAATAAGAGGCATCCTATCACCAAAAACAAGCATAAACAGGATCCTTTAAGTCTGAGCATGCACAACATAACTGAATAACCACATTGCTTATAAACAAAAAAAACAAAGTGATCTAAGGAACAACTTTTACAATGTGTGTGTTGTGATTCATATTTCTGCACGCAATCTGTCGGCTGTGCTCTTAAGTCTATTCTTTAACAGCACAGCCAGCAAACAACAGCAACATGTCACTTCCGCTGCCTATGCCAATTATTACACTGGTGTATTTAACAGAGTTGTTTCAATTGACATAAATGACTGCTTGTGAAAAGAACACTGAATTTTATGAATGGCATTAAGGATCAAAGCATTTCTCTAAAAGGAGTTAAGATGTCTTAGGGCAGGGGGCACTGCAACAACACACCAATTAACATGAACTGCACATGGAGCCTCTTTGGTATAGTTTGTTGAAAAACTCAGAGAGCGACAGAAAGTACAGCAGCCGGACTATTCACAGAATAAGACAAGTGTGACAAACTCTTTTCTAGAAACTGTAAGAAACAAAACTACTCTGGCTTATCTTACCTGGATGGGGCAACATCAAAACTTAAACACTGTGTCTTCTAAAGCTGCATGCACCATAGCCTTGATCCAGACAGCTCTGTACTCCTGCTATTTAAAGGATGGGTGATTAAGAAGCAAACCAGGTCTGACCTTTTATTGTGGGTGCTGACTAATGCTATCGGCATTTTGTTAGTTGAAGCAGAAAGTCTGGTAGGGTTGGGATGTTCGGGGGGGAATTTATAATGTTTTGTTTTAGTCATGAATTTAACCTCTTATGCTAGCTTTATGGCAGAATAAACTCAAGCATAAGGGTAAAGGACCATGATCTCATTTGCACCCCAGTCATAAAAGTAACAACATGACATCATTGACAAAACCTGCACAAGTTGACAGCAGGGGCAAATTAAGAGTTCAGCCATCCATCCTCTAATAAAGGCCGTCAGGATAAAGCAAGGGCACTGTTTTGTATACAGCTGCACGCAAATGCCACAGCTGTTTAGTTTAAAGTCGTAGCATTAACTAAATCAGTGTCTGTCCTGTGCGATCACACAAAGCAACTGGTCAAACATCAAAGCAAAGAGACGCATGCTCTGAGAAACGTCTTGCAACACCGTCTGGGCCATCTCAGGGCAATCCACAAGGGTATACCACTACCAGAGGCTAGACACAGCCCCGAGATCAAATTCAGTAGCACAAAATATACCTGAAACATGCTTTGCACTTGTTGATTGTCCAGTCACTGCGCCTTTTCATACAGGTCGACTAGTTTTACACCCGAGGATAATTATTTTCTAGAGGAATTTAAGCCGCATGAGAAACAGACGACTGACAGACAAGAAAACACACCGCAACAGCTGTGAGTCAAATACACCAGAGCACGCAGGAAGGCTAAATGACACTTGGTTCATATATACAGACGCACTTCTTGCTGGACTTACCACGTCTCACATACTAAACCGCTAGCTAACGATAGCTGGGATAGGTCATTTATATCCACCTAATGCAAGGAAAGCACACACACCCCTCGTCCTGGCCCTGGAGAAAGCAACGACAGCGCTCTGCTAAAGTTAGCTGGCTACCAAAACTGGCTAGCTAGCTGTCAAAGTTGCCCTGTCAGTTGTCACCGGTTGCACGGCGGTGCTAGCAGGCTAACGCAGGAGCTGTCAACTTGGAGAGTTACTACAAAACGGCCGGGGTGTTTCTAACACTGACCACAGGGAAACAGCCTGGCTCTCAGAGAGGAAAAAAAGGTGTCCCCGCAGAACCCGCCACCGCATGCGAAAAGCTGTGTGTCAGGGCCTGTTCACCGGGCTCAATCCCCAGAACTTCAGTGCAGCACACTTCCCCGTGAAAGTCGTCCATTTCGTGGGCCTTAGTTCAACTTCCATGCCCGTGTAGCTCACTTACTCTGGGTGAAAGCTGCTGTGACGGTGGCTCTCTGTAATCCTGACGGTAGTTTCAGAGTAACTGCCCCCTCCCCTTCCTTCCACCTCCTCTTCTTCAGCTAGCAGGGGCTCCCCGGGGGTGTCCCGTGCTCTTGACGTTATCGTCCTGTGCAAAGAGCCGCCGTTGTCGTAGCTTCGCCGGTGTGCCCGCGGTGCCGTGGCGTTCCTCCTCAGCTTCTCTCCGCCTTCTCCTGTTCGCCTTTCTCTCGGCGGCCGAGCCAACATCCGGGACTCTCCCCCCAGTTTGGGTTAAGTGCCCGGAACTACTTTCACATACGACGACGCACACGCAGGGTTTTTTTTCCCCTCCTTCTCACCACCAACCTGCCGCCACAGAAACTAGCGCGCGGTCAAAGGCACAAGCCCGCATTGAAAGCAACAGCGGGTGCACCCACACGTGAACTTTCCTGTCAATCAGTTAATCAACAAATCAGCGTTATTCAACCAAAGCGCCTTCTAGACATGGCTTTATAAAGACACAAGTAATAACACATAGGACCAGGATCACGGAATAAAAGCAGAAAAAAGTATATAGATAGTCCAACTGGGCACCACCGTCTGATAGGTCACCTTTTATATAGGGTTTGTAACGTCTAATTAATGACTTTATTAAAGGGTCATAAATAATTTACACATGCTTAATAGATTCCTTACAAACCGTTAATAAGTAGCCTGTAACTTTTTGGGTTGCCAGGTTGTAATAAAAATCCCTTTTACTGGTGTGTTTCCTTTCTATTTAGAAGTATTGCAATTATGCATGATGATCTGATGATGACATTAATCTATTAATAAATGCTTGTGGGTTTCACATTTTCTAAGCCTGTAAGTCTGCTGTTATAGGTATGCTACACTCTGTCCAGAAATGAAAGTCCTCCATTAGAGGATAAATAAAATAAGACTTGGCTGCACATTCCCACTGGCAATAGGCCACATAAATACATACATAGACGATTTTGTTTTTTAACTTGGCAACCTAAAACTTATTCTTATTAATGGATGACCTCATCTAGCATTAAAGAGTTAGGCTATTAAGCCATGAGTAACAAACTTATTCTTAAGTTTCTTATTCTAAAGTGGCACCAACAAGAAAAAACCTAAAGAATACAGAAGCTGATGAAAACATATCCAAGAGTCTAGTCCATGATTAAAATATGTGCCTTTTGAAAGTAGCCCATGTTTCAGAGAAATAAAATAATTTATAGAAAAGGTGGGCATGGACAGCATATAGGCCTGCAGTTTAGCTAGGAGCCCCTAGTTTAATTTTATATTCTGTTAACGTATAACTAGAGCTGATTTTGACTCCTATAGAGACACAATACATAGGCTACTACATAAGAGATTATTGTACAATTCTAGTTGCAGACCACAGTTGAAAAAATTGCTAACATTTTTTAACAGTTTTCAACAAATAACATTAATAATTTATTAATTCACCTTCAGTGCAGTATATCACAGAGTTCCCTATGGCCTAAATGTTGCTGCAAAATTATAGTGGTGAAATTGTGAACTCATTCATTAATAATTGTTTTTCTTGACTTAAAAATAGTCCAATTTAATATATAGTGCGTTTTAAAAAATTTTTTTGCATCCCCCTCTAAAATCCAACTATGTCTAACTCACCATTGTAAAGTATGAACCTCAGGGTTAATTAATAAACCTCCAAATTCACATAACTGTTTTTACCAAGGACATGACCTCAGTGTCCTGAATGGTATCTACCGCCTTGGTACTAGTAGAGTGAGTTTACCTTGCCTTGTCTTTTGATTTTCTACTTACCTCCCGAATATAGCTACATGTTTATGAGTTATAGTTATATCATGTTTTATTATTACTATCAAATATGATATAGAAAGAAAAAGGCTATTATAAGGGTTTTTATGAGTTCTTATGCCAACATGTTATTGTTGAGGTTTACAAGGTTATTTTATGGTTTTACTAATAACTGTAGGTCACTCAAAGATCTAAAGCTTCTGTGTGTCTATGGCCATAGGCAATCAGAAAAATGTCACCATTAGCATAGTGGAAAACAATGGGCCTACACAAAACCAACACAACTCAGTGCACAGCACTGTGCTTTTATAATTTTAAAGTTCATCATAAGTGACATATTCTATTTCTATTATTATCTATATGTTATTTTTTCTATATGAAATTCTATAATCTGAGTGTAGCTGTTTTGTATTGTAACCTATTGACTTTTCATAATTTTTAGATTTGTGCATTTTTTTTCCAAATATAAACACTTTCAGTCCATTTAACTGGTGGTGTCTCTGTAAAAATGAACACAAATATCACTAAAATGTGCGGAAACTAATCAGGTCAATCTACACAATTGAACATGTATCAAAGAAAGCATGCTGAAGTGTGGTCGTCTGTTTAGAAAGGCAACAGCGCCTCATGTGGGTTGATCACGGGGACTGCTGTTATTAAACCATGAAGATGAGCAGTAAAATGATAAATCATTTTAAATCAGAACATTTACAGCTATAATGACTGGCCCTGCCCTTCTGTTCAAGGGGACGCTTTAGACTGAAACGCAGACATCACTAACGCTGATTATCTGAGACACTAAAAGGTAAAAAGGTTCAGAAAATCAGTCGCTCATTAGTTATTACTATTACCTAGTTATTTAATGCACGGAATTTCCAATAACCCTCTTTATATGTGTTTCAAACCGGACCGTAATTTCTCTCCAAAACTTTACACTTCCGCAAAGTAACATTCATATTTTTCCTCTGCAGGTTGTAATTTCTTTTAGGTCATATCAAGTTACTAAGTCATATCCGACTTTAAAAAACAAATATATTAAATTAAAAAAATAATAGGCCAAGATGTCAAATTTGAGGTGAATGTTTCATTATAACCTGGAATTGTGACGACCAAAAATAATTATTTTGTATTAAACAAGTGTATGGTAATGATAACACAGACCTATAGCCTACTCACTTGGTTATTTCCTAGCTTGTACCTATGGGGTTTTGAGTCCTAGCCTATTTATTATAACTTAAATTATTAAGTTCCGTACGACATTTGGGTATTTTTTGAACCTGCAATTTCAGATATAAATTTAACTTAACAGCTGAAACTCACCAGAAATTAGATGTCCAGTGGAGCCTCGCGCACCCAGATGCAACCAGCATTTTTGAGAAAGTAAGCTTTCAGTTTATACAATGCCAAGTTAATGCCGAGTCCAACTACTCAGAAAAATAGAAGGCGTCAGAGGGGACCAAAGAGAAGAACCGACGAGCGCCGTACACCCCACATCAGCCTCAAACACTTCAAAGTGTCCCTGAGTGATGAAACTTGCTGAGTCAGTGGGACAGTCCGGTCGAAAAGATCCCCTTTAAGACAGATTTTCCCCTCCCGTCCTGCGCCACTGATGATGCTTATGTTCATAAGGTGTGACACCTCATATGAAAGTGAGAAAGTAATTGACGCACTACTTCATCAACATTATGCCACCTGGTGACTGCAGTACCGTTTGAGGCCACCGCGGCGCTGACGGGTTTCTTGTGCTTTTATAAAGACCACAGAAAGATTTCAGGAAGTGCAGAAGTTGCTGAGAAGCTCCTTCTGACAGAGAACAACCTCGGAAGCTAAAACAGGACGGTTTTGCAGTTTTGTCTTAAAAATAAGCGTCGCTTTTGTTTCATTTACGAATTTGTCACGGCGGCAAATTATTGTCAAATAACAGGTAGCGTTACGCAGTGCGCTTTTTATTTGCAGAGTGTGTATGTAAAGGTTTTTCCTCACCTGTCATTACTGAACATTTGCAGGTAAATTGTAATGTAAAAAATTGTAAAAAACAAAACAAAAAAAACAGAAAATGTCCACCTTACTTCTTCCTTGACAAAACAACCTAAAGACTGTTTCCTGTAGCGAATCCTTTAAGCAAAATGTTAAGGTCAAGGTTCACTCACTGTAGGTTCATGCATACTGTGAGGCTTAGGTTTATATTAAGGTAGCCTGTATTAATATAACACTACTGTAACGATTAGTAAGAGCATGTGAAGTCCAGTAACATACTGTGATTTGAAGGTCTATGTTCACAAAGTTCAGTTAGTATTCAAACTGTTTTAGAGAGGTGCTTATTCAACTTTATGGCCAATTTGGAGGTTGTAGTTTGTCTTGTTGTTGCTCCTGAATGCCACTGTGTTTCCAATATTAAGTGTATCGCCACCAATATACAGTGGGTGAAAAAAAAAATATTGGAAACACTTCCCCCGCGACCAAAACAGCTTGGTCCCACACTTCCCATAATACGACCCAATATTCATCTATTAGACACTTTTTTCCTGGTAAATGCCTTCATGTTTTTGCATTCAGGACTCAATGTCACCTTTTACTTGGCTGCAGCTGTATATTCCTCTTTACACCATCAGAGGTGATAATCCCAAACTTTGGAAAGCTCCCCCCAGACCCACAAGTACTATACAAATACTGTAGTTTAACCTGCATCCTGAACTGTTCATGTTCATATACAAAATCTCTGGAGTTCCCCTTTAAACACAGGTCTCATATTCTGACTTGTCAACATCACTGACAAATCCTCATTCCTCTCTCTCTCATCAGGTGATGGCTGAACCCAGAATATCTTCCATTGATGGGAAGTTAGCTGAAGAATTCGCTGTTCCCTCCCATGCCGAAGAGGTGAAAGAGAAGATGGCTGCTTTTGCCAGGCACCATGCGGTAGCAGGTCGCATGGTGGTTCTCATCACATCAGGAGGCACCAAAGTTCCCCTGGAGTCCCGCACAGTTCGCTTCCTCGATAACTTCAGCAGCGGCAGACGAGGGGCCTCTTCAGCAGAGTATTTCATAGACTCAGGCTACGCTGTCATCTTCCTGCACAGGCATCGCTCGCTCTACCCCTACACACGTATGTTCTCAACCATTAACATGCTGGACGCCCTGAAGTTCAGAGGTGGAGAGGGAGCATCCGGTAACACCGGTGAAGTGGTGGTTAACCAGCAGGTGCTTCCGAACATAGCGAAAGTGCTGAAGCGATACCAGGAAGTGAAAGAAGGCAGACTTCTTCTGCCCATTGAGTTCAGCACTCTGTCAGAGTATCTGCATCTACTCAAAGCAGCAGCACAGGCACTCAGCACAATAGGTACAGACTAACACCAGTTTACAAGTTGAAGTTGTGGCTCTTATCGTTCATAACTTGTCCCCAAATGTTTGTTCTGCACTTAGGATCCAAGGCCATGTTTTACTTGGCTGCAGCTGTGTCTGATTTCTATATCCCAGCATCTGAGATGCCTGAACACAAAATCCAGTCTTCCAATGGACCTCTTCAAGTGAGTATGAAATGTGTCAACAACTACAGGATGGATTGTCATGAAATCTTGTAGACATTTATTGTACCCAGGGGATGATTCCCAGTTACACTGATGATCCTCTAACCTTTCCTCTTGCATCACAAGGTAGACATGTTTTTTAGTTAAATATCTTAACTACCGGTGGATTGGTACACATAATCATGCCCTCCTCACAAATTTTGATCACTATGGTGATCCCTTAAACTTTTAATGTTGCACCATTTTTTATTCAATGTTATTTTGATATTGCCAATTCGTAAGATGTCATCTTATTGCCCTTCTCGTATACAGCAGGTAGACCCAACAACTACCACCGTGATCAAGTGCGTTTATGTCCAACACTTTTGTTTAGGACTGTCTACCTGTACTAATTACATTCCCATTAGCCTCAGCTATAATGTGTGCTAATCCGCTCATGTCTGCATGCTAATGCTCTAAACTGAGATGGTGAAAAAAATAAGCATACCAGCTTAATATCAGCAGAATGTTTGCATGCTAGCGTTAGTATTTAGCTGCAAGCACCTCACTGCTTAGTTAAAGCCTCAAAGAGCAGACTGTAGACCCTTGGTCTTGTTACTAATGACAACATACTTTTTCTCCCCTTCAGCTCAGCATGAACATGGTCCCAAAGATACTGTCCCCCCTGGTGAAGGACTGGGCACCTCAGGCATTTGTCATATCTTTTAAGCTGGAGACAGATGCAGCCATCCTGCTGGACAGGGCTCGCCGGGCTCTGGACACCTACAGGCACCAGGCTGTTGTGGCCAACGTACTGGACTCTAGACGGGGATATGTGGTGGTGGTGACCCCTCAGACTCAGGTTGAGCTGATCCTCACAGAGGAGGATGAGAAGAATGAGGTGGAGATTGAAGAGAGGATAGTGAGCAACCTGACATCCGCACACAACAAGTTCATAACTCAGCAAGGAGGTTGACTGTAATCATCGTCACTGCATGTCTGAGCCAATGGCATGTAAGTCATTGTCTGTGCTCTTACCTGATCCTGAGCTTGGCTTAAATTCCTACTTGCCTCTTCTCCTGAAAAGTTACTGTATATTCAGTATGTTGTTTGGTTGCATAACGTTGGTAATAACTGTAACTATGAACACATCATATCCATCCCTTGCCCTTTTAACATGCTCTAAAAACAGGCCTCTATGCTTATAGTGCGGTCTCTGTACAGGGACAATATGTTATTGAAAATGTTTATTCACATTGCACAATGAATCTAGAACAGAAAAACATTTTCATGTCGTTTCTACAATAGTGACTGACAGTTGATTACTTCAGTGATGTGCTTTCCTACACAGGTCACCTATAATAAACATTTCTAAGTACAGTCCATTAGTCTTATTTTTCAATCCTACACCTGGCAGCATATTTTGGATTCTCTCTTGGTTACTTAAGTTTAACGCTCTTCTTGACACCAGCACGAATTCCAGACAGCTCTCCACTGTATCTCTTGTCTTCCCGACGAACCTCCCGGACCTGGCACATATGAACCACAGTTTCAGTATCGATCTTGGAAAAGTGTTTGACATATTAACACATCCTCATAAAATAAAAAGGTATCTTTAATGTGTGGAATACAAACCTGGCCCTTTCTGCGGATTTTGGCCCGCCTGAACTTCTCTCTGTGCTTGACTCTGGGATTACGGTCAATTTTCTTCCTCTTTGGTGTAAGTCCTTTGTTCTTGGCCATCTGTGGAATTGGTAGCGGCACATAATGAGAATAAGTCTTGACAAGTGACAAAGTCTAAGATTGGATGGACTGTTCATTATTTATAGGGGCGGGGGCTGGGGTAGGACTGTTTTATATTTATCCACCGGAGCTCAAAATATTTTTCCTTGAGCCTCCCTGAGTGACTGGAGGAAAATGCATGACCCTCACTCCATCATAAATAACCAAATAGGTAGCTAGTATTGGAGAAAGTAAAAAAAACAAAGGCTGACATATTCCAACCATTACATTTAAGAGTGACTCTTAAATGTAATGGTTGGCCCCCCCTTCCCTCGTCAGGAAAAAAGAAGCCCAATGTATTGTGTCCTTTCCTATAGTACTGCAAAGGCTACCTTTTCCAGCTCTGAAACAAAAATAAGACCCTAAGTTAGTCCAGCCAATGCAATAAGCCAACAGCACAGAGGGACTGAGAGTTATCACCAAATCAAACAGCTCATTTCTTAAGCAAAATGCAAATCCTCATAAATATTTGCATCTTCACCCAAGTTATGGGTGCATGACCAACAAAGTTGAATAAGCCTACACAACAAACGCACACACACAACATTAGTGACATTTGCATATTAATGATGGTGTTCCCAAATAAACTTAACATATGCAACAGTGGCCAGAATAATCTCAGTTGGCACGATGGTCTTAAAAATATTAAGGCCAAAATAATTTTTTAGAATATAATAGTGTGTGTGATCTGCCTGAGCACATCTGGAGTAGTCTGGCTTTCATTGTGTTTGGATGTTAGGTCAGTGTAAACACAATTAGTGGCCCACAACGTGCTGGCATCCATGCTGAACACAACTTTATAGCCAACATGTATTTGTTTTTAGCTAACATAAAATATACAAAGTGAGAAGGCTGAAAGAGATGGACCTCTAATGACTGATGATGCGGGTACTGAAACACCATGGGACAAACTGAATATTTTTTCATACAAAAAGAAGAATTTTTTAAGGGAGTCTGTGGAGAATTTGCCCCCATTTCAAATTACACATGTGCAGAATTTTCTCTGGAGGACAGATCTGAACTCAGTGAGGATAAAATTGCACTAAAAATACCAGGTGTAAACACAAAGGCAAGATCTGATTTATTATAAAGGTGTAAATGGGGTGTTTCACCAAATTCTGACATGGTGAGGACTGTTCAACTGCACTGTGGCGGTTAAGGTGGGGTGTTAGGTGGGTTTAGGTAGGTATGAGAGATAAGTTATGTATTTGAAAAGTAAAAAAACATACACTATATAAAATAATAACAAATACAACAATTTAAAAAGGTGTATATCGCCCACTGCCAAAAATTAAAGTCCCTCCCCTGTCATATTTGACAAGCCTCCCCCTTCCAATACTCTGTTAATCATAAATATACTCTGGGTGGAAGCATCTGACTGCAAACACTCATATTTCAGTGTGTGACTGGTTGTACCTGGTATGTGATTCCTCTCTTAGCATCTGGGTCCAGCTCTTCTTCATCTTGATTCTCCTCCAACCTGCAACAAATTGACAATTTGTCAGACCCCGAATTGATTTAATCAACTGTGATTTGAAGCATCAGATCATACTTACTCTTCAGCTTCTGGGTCGCTGCGCTTTCTCTTCAGTTTCACCCGCTCCGCCACCTCTTTGTAGAAACGTAAAGCCGCTTCCTCGTCCAGGTCAGAGTCCGAGTCCTGCTCAACCTCAAGAACAGTTTCACCAGAATCCTGCCAACAATGTGAACTTGTTACCATTCAAGCAGACTCAAAGTGAGGATGCCATTCAGGTGAGTAAACGGAGGTAACAAACCCCACAAAAATCTCACCTTTTTCTTCTTACTTGAGAGTCTAGGCTTCTTGACCTCTGTTGATCTGCTGCTGGCCTTATTCTCCTCACCGGCTAGTAGCTTGCGAAACTGTGGTGCAAGCCGATCATCTACTGAACCTAGTTCATTGATGAGCTACAGGCAGGTATTGAAAAGTCAGTAATATGGAGTGGTAGTGTGATGTCCCAGCCCATGTAGTTATTGGTGCCATCGTCAAACAGTAGTAGTATCAAACAGTGACACACTAAAGGATGCCGTGCATGTTGTCTTGACTGTTGGACATTCAGGGCAGGAACACATTCGCTAACATGTCCCACTTTCAGCAGGTGTTAAAGTCAACGTGTGGACTTACATTTCTGTAGGTGAGCAGTCTTTCAATCACAGGATGGTTATGAGCTGGGATTCGTTTCGCTTTCAGCACCAAGTAGAAACTGATGTTTGTGCAGTAACTGTTGCAGGAAAGGGTCATTTGGTCATTCAACGAACAACTGTGACATGATTTAGCAATATGTAAATACAATTTAACTGCAACTTACTTAAGATAAAGTTGCTGTTTTGTCTTGAGGTAGTCAGCACCCTTTGGAAAACAGTAATTCACATACTTAATTACCATTGCTACATGACATTATTGGTAGTACTCCCCAACATGGCACCAAATATCACGTGTCCCTGTGTACTATACAGCTACACAGAGAGAAAAATTATCATTAATGAATCTAACAATAGTCATTCAATTTCAAAAAAGAAATTGTTGTTAGGTAAGGATAATATATACAAATATATTATAAACAAACTATAGGTAGTGTCTCATATAAATTTAATACAATTCTACTGAGTTGCAGATGCTCTAAGACTGACTGAAAAGGACAGTATGAATTCAGTTCATGGTAAAAATATTTCAAACTTCCTGAGTTACTTTAAAAACAAACTATCTCTGATTTACATAACTAAAGATCTGTCTCTGTTTTGCACTACCACATCTGTGAGACAGAACGACTAAAACTACCATAGAAGTAAAGAGAGTCTCCTTCTTCAATGATTTGTTCCATGATAATTAAAAAGGACAAATGCATGTTGATAAATCTTTAAATCTGCAAACTGATATGAGCCACTTGGGGGCAGCTAAAGCAAGTCCTGAACACAACATTATCATATCCTCACCTTCTAAGTTGATATGATGATTTTGTTAGCAACAGTTGCTTATTTACATCATCATACATATCATGCAGTAACGGAGCAACAATATAATTTATTTGAAGTTTCTGATCACCCGTTTTCACTCTCTTCTAGCTCAGTTTTTGGACTCTACCAACTCCTTAGGGAAACGTCTAGCTCTTAAGCTGCTAAATGCTTCACTATGTTCACCAGCTAGTTGCTCAGCATGTCAGTCGGCTGTACAGGTAGTTTACAGTGGGGTTTTAAAACTTTTGTCACTGAAAACATTATAGCTGCTTTTAAATCAGGTGACAAATTCACAGCTAGAAATGAAGCTAAATGCACTCACCTTTCCTGGTGGGATCTTTCCATCCTTGACCATCTGTACGAGGGGCTGCAGCTCATCCTTTAGTTCAGTAAGCTGCACACATCGTGCCATAACAAAGATTATTCACATCAATTACATGTTGGTCTGTGGTAACTAAGCAAATATCCTTTGGCTCAATAAATCTGAGGTTGTTTTACCTTTGCCTTAAAGTCTTGAATAAGTTCAAGCAGCTCTGGTGACTCCTTCTTCAAAAGTTTCATTTTTTCCTTCTGGGACATCTGCTTCAGGTCTTTCACAATCCTCTCCTCCTTTTCTACAGTTTTGCTTTCATCCTTCTCCTCCACAGCAAAGTCCTTCATTTAGACAGCCACATAAGACAACCAAAGAAAACACAAATGTTCATCATTTTATCATCACATGTGGAATTAACTGGACGTTAATCAGCTAATCAGAACTAGGTTGACAGGAGAGGTTTAGAAAATACCTGAAAAAAGTTTAAATCATAATCCTCCTCGCTCAGATTTGCAGCTAAACGTTTTTGGATGTTTTTAGCCTCTTCTTCTTCCTCTAGTTCCTCAGCTTCCAACTCTTCTTGAGATTTCCCTTCTGTAATAACACAGTTATATGTTGCATAAGAAAATATTAGCCACACTGATAACAAAACCATCACCAACTTGTTGAAATATTTTTGGAGATATGAGACGCTTACTGGTGGGCATGTAGTCAGTGTCATAAAACATCTTCTTCTTGGTGCCCCATGCCATTTCATTAGGAAGATCTGAGGAAGACAACCAAAATACAGTTAAACTGCTAGTATGACTATAAACCAAACATAAGAAATTATGATTTTGTGTTTACCTTCTTCTTTTTTCCCCTCTAGATCACTCTCCATGTCTGTGCCCTCTTCCTGGTCATCTTCTTCTTCCTCCTCCTCCGACTCAGAGTCATCCAGGGCCATGACTTCCTCCTGTGAAATTCAGATGAGCTTGGATTTGTTCTTGAACTTACTGAATTTCCTGACAGTAAATCCAAACAAACACACAATCCATCACCTCATCATCCAGTTCCTCCAGGTCGCTCTCAATTTGAACACCACTGGCGAGAAGTTTCTATGGCAAAGAGATCAAAAACAGTTGAGAAGATAAAAACAGCACCACACACTGACCAAAGAACTACTTATGGAGGTTAACTTACTGCGATCTTCTCATCGTGAAACTCATCGATTTTGTCCTTTGTGTACTGTGATGATTTCTGAAGGGAAGAGGAGAGACAAAGCTGAGCTTATGTGGTTGTTGAAGGTTAAAAGTAGCTTGTGAGAAAAATTATCACAATATGAGACTAGATACCCCCAGATTGTGATTCTAACATGAGAGAAAAGTGGTACAAATTTCTGAACGTAGTATTGTTTTTAACTTTTAACTATTTTGGCCTTCATTTCCACATCACTACTGACTGTTCTTGTCCTAGACATCATACTAGACTTCTCTAGTTTAGATTTATTACTTTATACCAGAACCAACGGTCAAAACATTTCTGATATTATTGATGAAAAACTCTAATGAAAAATAATGGTAGAAAAATCACATCACTGACAGTTATGGAAAAACACACCAGGTGCACCTAGGGCTGGACGATATGGTCAAAATTTTTATCACAATAAAAAGTTTAATATCTTTCGATATCGATTCTTATCATATTCACATAGTTATTTCTTTCAAGTTTAAAGGCTGATTTTTGCTCCTGAGTGAAAGTTGAAGAAACCTGATGGTTACACTTGAGGCCAAACACAGTTCTGAGGTAGAACATTCAAAACAATTATGATAAAATATTTTTTCCTCAACAAAATAAACATCTTAATAAAAAAACTTAAGTCCTTATTCGTATATGATTCAAGTGAATAACATCAAACATTTATAGAACATTTTTTATATTGCTATTGAAAAAAATGATATTGCGATAATGATTGTTATTGTTTTATTGTCCAGCCCTAGGTGCACCTCCTTACCTTTTGGACAGTACTGTACTGTCCAAAATGTAAGAAGACCAAAACACCAGAGTGCAGTCAGCACACATTGGACCTGTTTTCAAACAATAAAATAACAATAAAAATACTTTTTAAAATTTCAACCGTTTACAAAGCAATATTCCTTGAATTTTGGGAAATCAATTCCCTTTCTTGGAGACACAAAATGCTGCAACATTTGAATACACCAATAAATAAATAGAATCACCATATAGGATGCATACAGTGTCATAAAAAATTGTTGAACCTTAGTAGATGTTTTCCCTGGGCTTTCCTCATGAGTAATACTGTAGTAATAAAATAAAACCTGTGACCCAGTGGCACATTTTAAAGACATTTAACTTTTTCCAATTGGAAGCATACTGTACATATAACAACACACTGGCTGTGATTGGCCTTTCTATCAGTGTTACAAACCACATAAAATCCCGCAGACAACACTGTAGCCAGAAGTGAGTGCTGAGTACTCTTACCTTATTTTTTTTTACATTTACATTTATTCATTTAGCTGACGCTTTTATCCAAAGCGACTTACAATTGCTATACATGTCAGAGGTCGCACGCCTCTGGAGTAAAGGTCGAACCCAGGTCTCCCACACCAAAGGCAAGCATCTTATATATGCGCCATCACCACCTCTTACCTTATCAGGAACAGGCATGTTCTTGTAGGTTTCAGGGTCATCTTCATCATATCGCTCTGTCTTTTTAGGCCCTTGTATCTGCCTACCCCTGAGCAATAAAAGAAAGGAGAAAGTGGTGTCCTAAAGGTTGTTTACATCATTACAATTTCATTTATGTTCTTGTCGGTCCTAGTGGGAAATGTGGGGACAACAAAAAGCTACAGGTTAACAGAGTAGGGAGGCTCGGTTTAACGTTAACAGTCACATTAAAACATGCAGACTCTAATTTTAGCTAACTTTAGCCAAACTCACCGTTTTGCTCGAACCATGATGGAAATGAATTGAACTGTCTTGCTGCACGTTAGCAAACAAAAAAGTGCGTTAGAAAGTTGAACAAACAACACGTTTCGACGGCAGTGTTCATATGTGGAGATGAAAACGGTAAATATCCAGTTTGCGTTGAGCTGAACACATTTCTTCAGTGGTTACCATGTGCTTCCGGATCTTCTTTTTCGTCGTCAATTTTATTGGCGGTGTATAAAGTAATGTGAAACGCGCATACTGCCTCCTACTGTACTGGAGTGTGTGACATCATTTTATTTATGGGTTTCAGTTTGAATACATTTGTTTATAGCTTGAAATCAATCAAATGACATGCAAATAACAATATATATATATGTGCAGAGAGAGAGGGAAAAAGACTCAACCTCAACATAAAAAAACCTAGATTAATAAACATAGATTAAAATTTTCTTTAAAAAGATTCTTTGGAGGATATTATTTTAACCAAGTGGGGTAGAGAGTTTCATAAATTAAGACCCCTGTATCTGATAGAAAACTTTGTTTCCTTAAGAATAAAGCCTTTCTCCTACTTCACTTCCATTCCATTAAAGACTTCTCCAGCAAGTCTTTAATTGGTCATTCAAACCCAAAATACATTAAAAGCTAACAAAAAAACAAAATATTTAACTGTCTATTCTGTTTCATTATAAATATTTTTTTTCTCTTTGTTGTTCAACAGTGAGATTTTCACTACATAATGGTTTGAAAGAGTTTTCTCCACTATACCAGCAATTGACTTCTGCTGAGACATTGTTTTATTTATTATTTCATATGTATTTTACTTGGCTCAACTAGTGTGACTTTAAAAGTGGCCAACAGTTTTTAGACTCACTATCTTTAAATCATAAAGTGTAAACTGCACTTCAAGTCTCCCCACCATCAATTCGTTTAATTCTTATCAGCACATGTTCCTTACAAACATTATATTTATGTCAAACTTTCTTTTTCATTATTTACATACTGTTGTATTAAGTCCAGGATGTTCTGACCTTAATAGTGAAGAAATAACATATTCTTCTGACATCTACTTTCCAACTCTAACAAACCTTTGATCTCAGCATGTTGTCTTCATCCCATATTCTCTGCCAAGCCTTCATAATTTATCAACAACTTTATTGATCACTTTTGCCCTTTTTTTGCAGATCTATCAGCACCATTTCAGTTTACTCTTTCATGTGCTAGTATCCAACACAAATACACAACTTTTGCCACTTGCTGAAAGTTTAATAAAATCATAGCTATTAAAAATGTCAATCAAAAGGTTCTTCTATAATTTCTTTCTCAAGCCATATGACTCCTTGGATTCGTATGCAGCCATCCAGTGGTAAACAGTTGATATCATTCCTGGTGAGCAGCATTAACACAGCAATTTTATGTACTTAAACATATTCTAAAGTAAAGCATTGCATCAAACAAACTATAGCATACAGTGAAACATCATCAAATTCAGTGGGACATCAAATCCACAGATAGAACCGATTGTCAGTACATCCTACATATCACGGCCTGTTTTGGGCTTAGTTTGGGTAATTAATGCTGCAGGTTATAACTGTCTCCTGCGGGCAGCTGCCCTTCCTCAGTGACAGAGGAAGTTATTACACAACGTGTTGCTCATGGATTTTCTTTTCTCGCTCCTCATTCTGGGTCTCCTTCCTTCTCAGCCAGTGACCTCCTCCAGTCCATACTGAGGGAATAACGGGAGCTGCGAGGCCTCTCTCGGGGCAGGAAGGTCTTTGGAGTTCTGTACAAAACAGATTTCATGTCATCGTTCCTCTTTTTCATCAGGGCAAGAGCTGGTGTCATAAGACCCGGTTCAAAGCACTGCCAAGGAAACAGAGAAGTAACAAAGAACATTAATATCATACTGTGCTCAACTATTAGGCACTTTATTTGAGCATTTAGACCACCTACAAAAGTTTGTTACTCCTCATAGTATGAATGTTATGAAATTGATCAGTCTGTAGAACAGTGTCCCAAGATAAAGTCGAGGGGTCACAAGATGATTAAAATGTTAAGACAGAAAAAAAAAATTTCTGTAATGCAAAATTAGGTTTTTTATTTTTCTGACTCTTCTTAAATGTTTGCTTTTTCTTTCAAAATATAGATTTTTTTTCTCCCACAAACCATATAAATGAAGCAATCTGATAAAAAGAATTTTCATTTTTTGGTTGAACTGTTCACAACTCATGTTGTAAAGGTCATAATTTGAGGATGAGGGGTCACAAGTAGACACTGCTTCATTGTAAGGGCTTACATTTCAACTTTCTGCTAATACTTTATACTATATATTTCTGTAGTTGACTTTTAGTTTGAATATATAATTCTGTGGTCAGTTTTCAGTTAATGTACTAATGAAACACAGTGCCTTTTGTGGATTATCTACCATACCAGGACTTTTTTTTTTCTTAAAATAGACATATTTGAGTCATAAAAGCACCACAAACTAAATTCAGTTCACCTCCATTGTTTTGGAGTGGAGGCAGAGGTGGATGACAAACACAAACAGTCTGCATGGCTTGATACCAGCAGAGGTAAGTGAGTAAATATGTTTTCTTGGGGTATTATTTTATTATGGCACACTACTTTTAGTTGAATAAAGGATTTGAGTGCTTCTACTTCAGTAAACTGAAGAGCAACATCTCTGTGAGCTGTTAACTTATTTTGCAGAAGTATCTCTTCCTCCATCACTCCTTCTTCACAAGCACATGTACAGGAAAATACAAAACATATACTTACACTGGCCCTAAACCTTGGCACCGGGTTTCCTCTGTCACCATGATTTGTATCTGTATTGTGCATGCTCAGGTCCATCATGGAGCGACTCATTTCTGACACAGCGGCCTTTGATCCTCTCCTGAACAGTCCTGAAGTGCTCTGCTGAGGCCGAAACCTCTTCATAATGTCACTCAGACAGCTGTAGCTGTCAGATTGGGGAATCCTCAGGATTATGGGTTTCTGTGCGGAGAGAAACTCATCTCAGTTTTTGCAAGTTTAGCTGAAGTGTTTTGACTGCAAAGGCCAGATACTTACTCTAGAAGGTGGTGTGTTTTCCACTTTTGGTTTGCTGGTTTCATTTATGCCTCTTTTCTCTTCCAAAATGGAGCACTCTTTTCTCTCAGTAGAGGAACGCATGACCATGTTGTTTGCTGGCCCTATTGCTTCATCACCAAGTCTTGTTGTTGTTCTGTCATTTAAATGGGTACTCTTTTCTACTGAGAGTTGCCTGGAAGGGGCTTTCTCTGTTATGCAGTCCTCCCTGCAGGAGAAGAAAAAAGGTCTTTTGGATATGTCATTTAAATAATCATTTATTCAGTGTGTTTCTTTTGTCTTTTGGTTGTTACCTTTTCCTTCTTTCTGGACTTTTCAGATCTGTTAACAAGGGCTGTGTGTTGCTATGAAATTAATCAAGATCCAAAGGATTTGTATAAATAAAACAACATCATACAAATAGAAAGCACATACTCATACTAATCATGTGTCGTGTGACTGTATATGTTGTAATCTGTTAAATGTTAAATGTAAGTTTTTAAGTTCGCTTGAATGCCCAAGACGAATTTCTCCCAAGGGAGACAATAAAGGCTAATCTAATCTTATCTTATCTAATCAGTATAATGTAAAAATCTGTTGTAACAAGACTCAACAAGACAAGTTGTTGATTTATCTGGCACATTGTTTGTCACTGGAGGTGTATTTTCGCATACCCTGTCACAAACAAAAAGATTTTAGTGAAGTCCTGCAAACAAAATATTAGAACTATGTTGTCCACCATATATGCTATTTCTCAAAGAAAGATAAGAAACAGGAAACATTCAAAATGTTTGTTTATGTTTCACTAAAAGGTAAATTATGGTATGAAAATAACAACAACTATGCAGCATACAGCAAAGTTATATTTCTGTAAATGCCAAAGATAATATAAAGATATCTTGTGTGTTTGGTCCCAAGACAACTTCACAGACTCACTAATGGTGTCTAAGAAGTCAACGTGATCTATATACCTTTTCTTATCCACAAAATGGATTCTGTTGTTCATCATTTCCTTGGCCATGATTTCCTCCTGTTGATCAAGAGGACTATCAAGGAAGCTGCACTCTCTCTGAACAACCCCCATGGCTTCCCAGTCCAGCAGGGAATCAGGAGGTGGGGATGGAGGGTTGGAAATCTCAGAGTCCAAAGGGAAAGGTTTTTTAAACCTGAGATCTGAGATGTCTTTCAGCCGATGAGTCACATATACATGAGTACCTGCAACCCTCCATGTGTCTGGGACGGGCAGCGAAGCAGCGAAAAGGATCCTGAACTCCCTGTCAAATGAGTCGACAACTGGGCCGCTTAGAACGGTGATCAGCTGCCGGTGCAGGTGGGCGTCTGTCCATGTGAGGCTGCAGTACAGAGACAGCTTGTTACATGCCTCTCTCTCTTTCTCTCTCTCTCTCTCTCTCTCTCTCTCTCTCTCTTTCTCTCTCGTGTAATGCAAAAAGGAATGTGTCTGACTGACATTTTATGGTGTGTAAAACATAACTGCTCACCTGTAGCTGCCATGAATCACTGTCTCTAAATCCACCAGAAGGAACTTGTCTTTCATTTCCCCGACCACCATTCTTCCAGTCCTGGAGCAGAAGGTTTTCCCTCCAAGAACACGGACCTGCATGTTCTGCCAGATCACAAGCTTGTTCAAACTCAAAATTGAATTACAATTAAACGTGTTTTTTATACGTGAAGCAATGTAAAGTCAACTACATGTTGAACAGGCTTATAATTTCTTTTACTCAAGGTTTATGTAAGTAAACAAGAGTCTACAGCCATGCTAGCAGCTCTTTGAGGCACAGCGGTGCTTTGAGCTAACATGATCACAATGACAACGCTAACCTATTGATGATCAGCATGTATATGTTTACCATCTTAGATGAGCGTGATAGCATGGTAACATTTGCTACTTGGCACTAAACACAAATACAGCTGAGGCTATTTTTTCATAAATCAAAGTACTGGACAAAAATTTTGTCCTGATGATACACTACAGGAAAAGTTCACAATCACCAAATGTCAACCTTATGGTGGTGTCAGAGGATGACATTAGGATGTCTGCACCAAACTTTGTGCCAATCCATCTTGTACATGTTAAAATATTTCACTTCGACCTGCTGGTGGCACTAGATAAAAAGTCAGGGGATCACCAAAAGTCTTGAGGGTTCATCCTCTGGGCACCATGGATTTCCTGGAATATCCGTACCAAGATTTTATGGCAATCTTTGCAGTTGTTGTTGATATATTTTTATCCGGTCCAAATGGTGAACCGACCAACCAACATTGCTATCTGATGCTAGTGTGAATCAAATTGTCAAAGCCACGCCATACCAGTATAATTAATAAATTGTCTTGGATCCTCTGACCATTCTGTGTGGTCTGTTACCCAATTATACATTAACATTAACATTTTGTGCAGGCAGGTTTGTCACCACAGACAACACTGAATGCTGTGTAACCAGTTCAGCTACTTGTTGCTAAAAGTCAATGTTACATTCCTAACATAAGCATGCCAAAGGTAAAAGACACTCTTGCTGTCTATCAGTAACCTCTCGAGGGTATGTATGCAGAGTGTCTGGTTATCAATAGTAATAATGTACACTTACTTTCAGATGTGACCAGATGTGACCTATTACATAATGTGTTGATCTGTCTGGTGGTGCTTGATTTTAGTAAAAAATAAAATCTCTGGTGTATTCATTGCCATGTCACACAAACATAAGATGATGGCTGCTGTAGGTGTTTGCTGATTTGTGGGAGGTGACTCACTGGATGCCCGAGCCTGTTGAGCGTGAAGTTCTCCTGAATGGACCTTTGGTTCAGGATGATGTAGACAGGGACACCCCGGGAGGCAGCACCGTGTAAATCGCCAATTATTGAACCATCTGTCAATCTGTCTGTCACAATGGCAATAACCTGCATAGTGCACAGAATGTCATAATAAAGTAATGTACTCATTCTGAGGAAAGAACATTTCCTGAGACTTCATCTCTACCCTTATAAAAACATATGCTGAGTTCATCCATAAGGAATAAATCCACATTATGTTTGCATACTTTAGTGGCCTTTTGCAAGTGCCGTCTGATGATCTCTCTGACAGGAGGTTCTCCCTCAGCAGGAGGACTGGTGTGGACTGTAACGCTTCCCTTTGGCGCCCATTGGCATTTTTCAGGCCAGCCCAGCTCCAGGTTCGGGGGTGGTGTGTCTGATTGGGAAGGGAAGTAGGTGGAACAAAAGTCCTCCCTCTCTGAGCTGCCTTCCTCTCCATCCGCCTCTCTTTGCACCTGTAGCGGGCTGAAGCAATAGTCCTGAGCCCAGCTGGATATCTGGCTGACCTCTTCAGAAGACAGGAAGCAGCTGGAGCGCTCTGTGTCGATGGAGCTGTAGAAGGCCGCTGTTCCTGCATTTAAGAGTCTCTCCACTGCTTGACGCTCCTTCTCACAATGGAGGTACTCTGGGGAAGACTCGTTCACTGGCACGAACACCGTCTCTTCATCAAGGCTCTGCTCTTGGGAGTTCACCATCACTGCAGCCTGATGTGTGATGTAAGCGAACTACTTATCAAAGTTCCCACTACTGACTCAAGCTGTGTGGCGGCAAGACAGTCCCAGGCCTGCTCGTGTCAACCTTCATGCCGGTTAAAACAATCATTTCATTCATCCTTCTGGCAAAAAGGCACAATGTCTTCACATTGGCAAGAGCTGCCCAGAACACATATGATATCTTGATGTTGATCTTTCTTTTACTGAGACAAAGTCTGTTCAAGGCTCACAAGTTCGGTCCTGAATATTAAGCAGAATATTATGATAAGTTTAAAGTGATCAGCATTTTTTTTTTAAAATCCATTTTGAAAACACAAAAATCAAAACATTGTGAAACTCACGTCCTGGGCAGCATGTCTCATCGCTCAAGCACAAGTATTACTCAGGAGCTCTCCGGAGCTCTAGCTCTTCATGTGTTCCCTGCCTTGCAGGTCAGCTCACTTCTCTTAACCCTTACACTCCTTGTTGCTGACAGATGGCAGAAAATCTGTGCAGCAGACAGATCGTTCAGCTACTCAGACACACAGTCACGATCCTGCCATACCTCCCTCTGACTTTCGCAGCCGCTGCATTTAAATTAAACCAACCTGATATTCAGGTTTCATTTCAAACGTGTGCTAAATTTGTGTGTGGTGCATCATATGTGTATTTTATCTAAGAGGCTGTCATTTACCTCACAGGTTTCTTTTTGGACTGGTTCAACCTGACAGGTAGGTTTGTGCAACACGCAATGCTGTATCTGACTTCCCATCTAAAGGTGTCAGGTGCAATCACAGAAGTTTTTTTTTTTATTTCTTTGAAAATACCGTTGGAAAATGTGTTTGTGAATCTTGACAGTAGTATCACTGGCCAGTTTGTTATCAGCTCATTATCACATTCCTCTACTGTTCTGTAGAAAACAGTCTGAGCATACTTTAACAAAGTAAGGCAAGGCAAGTCAAGTTTATTTGTATAGCACATTTCAACAACAAGGTAATTCAAAGTGCTTTACATAAAACATAAAAGCAACAGGGAAATATAAAAAAGTTTAAAAGTTAATTGAAGTGCTTTATTTAACTTTAAACAATGAATGCTACCAAACAATGAGTGATTGATTGAATGACAAAGATAGTGCACCCTTTCCCATCCATAGTGTTATGTCAGGGGATTGCACCCACTGTGCTACATATAAAGCACTTCATACAGAACAAAACAAGTGTTAGCCATTCGGTGAAACTAACAAATGGGAAGATTTCTTACAAAGTGACAACAATCCGTTTATTGTTTTTTAATCAGTAAACACAAATATATATACATACAAAAATCATGTATTAAGCACAACAAGTTAGGAATTCATTACCTAATACAGATACCTGTCAGAATCCTTCATGTAACACATTCATAATGAGCTTTTTATCTTACAGCGTTAAATGATTTTTAGTTTCCTTGATCTGGTCTTGAGTGATAACAATGTGTCTCAGGATAGATCATGAGTTATAAATAAAACAGATTTTTATCTTTTCTTTCTCAGTCATCTTATTTCCTCATGTGTGCTTACAGCCTTTCGGGGGGGTTTTGGCTCACTGCTTCTTGCGCAGGTGGACATATAGGACTCCACTGACCAGGAGGAGAGGGATACACAGCCATGCCAGGATGAAACAGTAGCCAAAGCGTCCTTTGCTCAGATCTCTGGAGTCATTTAAGATCTCCTTTCTGTGGAAGGTGAAGATGAGGCAAGCAGCAAAGACTGTGAAACCTGCAAGAGCAACACATAACGTTTCAATTCAAATTCTCTCATGTCATCACATTCATACAATTTCATGGTATGTATATATACATTTGACTGAAAATAAACTATAGAATCCATTTTCACCTACATGAGGGGACATGTCTGCAGTACTGTGGTTCACTGTTAGTCTGATACATTTATTGTTACTACTTCCTCCAATTATAAAACAAATATTCATAAACTGCATTCAAAAATTTTGAAATGTTAGACATTTGTCACTGTCATTAGAAATTGCTGTTAGGTTTATATCTTATGTAGCTATTAGAATAAGCCTTCAAACACCTGCAAAGGCCTGACAGAGGCCTGTGAAGTAGAAGAGTCCTCCTTTGGATAAGGTGAGCAGCTGGCCCAGAAAAATGAGGAAGGAGATGGAGGAGAAGACCACAGAGAGGACCATGAGGGCCTGGACAGACTGCAGCCAGTCTGGGAAAGCGGGAAGAGAATGACTGTAAACCACTGACTGATACAAACAAAACTCAAAGCTTCAGGCAGTTACGAAATATCCAATAAGGCAGATATGCAAACTAGATATGGCCAGCGAATAAACAAACCAGCTTAAACACATGTATGCAGGTAAGCACGCAGAAAAATACTTGAAAATGTACCGCTCTCATTCGTAGCTGCACACAACCAGGTGTTCGTGGCATTATCATGGAAGCAGTTATACCAGAGGTCTGTGATTTCGGTATCAGTCCATACCCACCAGGACTGCAGAAAGAAAGAAACATTTTTTTTTTTCTCACTTTGGCATTCGGCGTAAATGAGGTCAGATTTATAATTACTGATGGATCAGATTTCCACCACAGTGCCCAAAACCACAGGTAGAATGTTGATGTGCAGCATTTTTGTATTTGCTTTTATTAACCTCAAGCGTGTATTAACAGAAACATACGGAAAGATGAGAGACAACATAAATTAAAATCAATTGACACGTGTCTCACCTTCTCCAGGGTGGCGATGAAGAGCATGGTCAAGGTGAGCAGATGCAGCACGGTTAGGGATATGAGCAGGAAGACCATGGCTGCTTGGAGATGAGTCTGATATCAAACAATCCTGTGATGTTATATAATTATAGGCTGATGTTTTTACAAGAGCAGCCTTTAAAATGAATCTACAGTAAGATTGGTGGTTCCACATGGAACCAAACAGCTCTGCAGTCAAAGAAACACCACCATTTGCCACTGCTAAGCATTGTCCCTTCTGCCCATGTAGTTTCAAATGGCCAGCAGTTTTCCTTGAGGCAGGGAACGTCTCGGGTTACATATGTAACCCTTGTTCCCCGAGAAGGGGAACGAGACACTGCGTCGGTGACGACACTATGGGAACGCCTCTGGGTGTGGCAGGGCTGAAATCATGAATGAAACTACTCCAATCCTATTGGCGTTGCTAGAACGGTAGCATGTGACGGCGTAACTGGAGGTGTATATAAGCACGCCGGCACACCGGACACATTAGCTCTTTGCTATGAAGCAAGGCACTCCAGGCGGGGCGTGGTGTGGCGGACAGACGCAGTGTCTCGTTCTGCTTCTTGGGGAATAAGGGTTACATACGTAACCCAAGACGTTCCCCTTCAAGGGAACTCGAACTGTGTCGGTGACGACACTATGGGAACGAGAATACCCACTATACCACGCCGAAGCCTCCGCCTGCCCCCCAGCGTGCAGTAACCCGTAGGCACGACTAAGAGGAGAGTGCACGGGTGCCGGGTGCAGAAGGAAGGTCCAGACTGTAAACCGGATGAAAGTGTGAGGAGTGGCCCAGCCAACTGCCTCACACATATCCTGGAGCGAAGCCCCTGCAAGGAGGGCCCTGGAGTCTGCCATGCCTCGAGTAGAGTGCGCCCTTACGGCCATAGGTGAAGGTAACCCGCGCACCTGATAGGCCAGGGAATAGTCTGAACGATCCAGTTGCTGATCGTGTGTTTGGAAGCGGGGAGCCCAGCCTTGGGGGACCCGAAACACACCAGCAACTGGTCTGCTTTCTTCCACCGGGAAGACCTCAGTGTAAATACTCAGCGCTCTGACAGGGCAGAGCAGATGAAGTCTCCCGTCCTCCGAATCATCCGTCACATGATGAAACACCTGCAGCACCGTGGACCCTGCCAAACTGGACGGAACCTTAGGGACATAGCCCGGACAGGGGTGCAGGATGGCTCTGACCCTCCAGGAACTGGTCCCCTCAGGGGCCAGACCCACAGCTGCTACAGGGCGGGGCGCGGGTGAAAGACCCGGCCTCCCGCCTGGGAGAGCAGGTCTCTCCTCAGAGGGACCACACCCAGGCCGCCCAAAACGGGGCTACAAGTACGGAGCTTCTGGACCCCCAGTACCCCCAGTCGCTCTGCTCCAGAACCTCCAGGAGCAGAGCGACTGGGGGAAAAGCATACAGACGCAGCCTTGGCCATGTCTGCACCATGGCACCCCCTCTCGGAGGGGGGGTGCGGGAGGGGGCGAGAGGGGGAACCACAGCGGACAGTGCGTAATCTCTCGAGACGCAAAACATAGTCGTTGAGTCCCACACCACCTCTAGGAACGTAGTCCGTTGGGCGGGCGTCAGCACGCTCTTCTTCGCGTTGAACCGCAGCCCCAAACGCTGAATGTGGGCGAGGACGACATCTCGATGCCGAACAGCTAACTCTCGAGACTGGGCCAGAATGAGCCAGTCGTCGATGTAGTTCAATATGCGGATGCCCTGGAGCCTCATCGAGGCCAGAGCTACATCCATACACTTGGTTTACGTGCGAGGGGAGAGTGCTAGGCCGAACGGAAGAACCCGATACTGGTACGCTGCGGTACCCCGGAACTGCAGCAATCCACTACCGTGCGCAGGATTTAGTTCACTGCCGGCCAGCCTTTAGTTCATAGCTGGGCGCAGACTGATGACGTCGGCCATGACGTCATCAGCACGTCTAACTCGTCAGAATCAGACCGTGCCAGCCTCTCCAGACTCATACCTCGAGCGGGAGAAGCCGAGAAGCGGGCTCCCGAACGGGGAAGAGAGGAGTCGGAGCCAGCAGACGAGGAATGGGAAAAAGCCTCGGCAGTCCCGATGCCCTCGGAGATGTCGCACTGGGAGCCCCATGACCGAAGCCGCCGCGCCGCCTCACCGACCGCAGGGCCCGAGCCACGTGGAGAGCGCATCCGGCCGTCTTCGGAAAAGAGAGCCGCACGGGACCTCAGCACCCTCAGGGGCAGGGCCTCGCAATGGCCGCAAGCAGCCCCCTCGAAAGCTGCCTGGGCATGCGGCATCCCCAGACAAGCCACACACAGGGCATGAGTGTCCCCAGCCGTGATGTGGGCATGGGAAACACACTGCCTGAACTGTTCACCAGCCATCTCCTCTGTCAGACTTCCTTCCAGGAAAGAAATTTCCTCTCGTGATAGTACTTCTTTCGTAGTCTCAAACATGTCAGAGTGCCTGCTGACTAGAAAAAAGCTAATGTGTCCGGTGTGCTGGCGTACTTATATACGCCTCCAGTTACGCCGTCACACGCTACCGTTCTAGCAACGCCAATAGGATTGGAGTAGTTTCATTCATGATTTCAGCCCTGCCACGCCCAGAGGCGTTCCCATAGTGTCGTCACCGACGCAGTTCAAGTCCCCTGGAAGGGGAACTCTCTGTATGCCTCTCGAGGAAACTCTGAGCACTTTCATCATACATCTCCACATCTGCACTGGCAATCTCTGCCCATGCCAGACAGAGGGGGTATTTCTCTGAGGAGTACATCAGAACATCACCTCCCTGTAACTGTTGTAAACAAACTTTTACTCTGAAAACCTCTCTACCAACGGTCTGATGTTGTGTACTTTTCATGAATATGGGTACAAATGTTATACCTACAGTATTAAGACAGACAATCTGGCATTACGTGTGTGGTTCAAGAAGAAAAACCTACAAATGTAATCTTTTCAAACATTTCCCCATTGATCCACAGATATTTTCAAAAGGCATTTAAAGTGAAATGTCTGAATAAGATGATGTGATGAATGACTCATTGATTTTATTTAAATCCGTGTAGTGATTTTTTCCATAAGAAACTTTTGTGAGGACACAAGTAAAAAGGAGAAGTCACATTATTAAGTAAGACCTTTTTGGTTTCATTTCCTTAAATATAGCTGTTAAAATAAGTAAAGATATAATTTATAAAACATGAATACTGTATTGAAAAAAAACACGAATTTTGTGTTGTGTGTTCTTTTTCTATAGGTAGCTAAATTAGAATTCGCAAATTTAATGCAACATTTTTCTAATCAAAAGTTGAGTCTAAAATATTAAAACTGTGAGTCTGATACGTTTGTTTGTTTCTGTGGCCAAAAAGAGAGCCCGCTGCCTGGGTTCACAAATTAATGAATAATTTTTAGTGCTAGATGGAGACTTTCAATTTACCTAAATTACCAACCCTCAACTATAGAGTGCACTCAGACATTTAGGAAAAGCTTGTTCCACGCCTTGCACATGTTTGTCTCTCCCACCCAATTCTGCCCATAGAGGGAAATCCCTGTTGCCATTAGATTGTGGACAATTCAGAGAGGCATGTGTTTGATTACATACTACTACATCTGGTTTACATAGCAGTTAGGCACCTGGCACACACAGAGGGAAAGACCACAGAAATTGTGAGCAAATCACAGTAGAAGGAAAGAAAAACATCTTCATAAATGTTCAAACAATACCATTAAGGACTCTTGTTCGCATTTTATCACATTTGGGTGTGACCTAAATCTCATAAGCCAATAGTTGCATCATACTACACTGCCATGCAAGAAAATAACAGAAAATCCGATCTATTGTTTCTGCTTAATCCAACATAACCAAGATGCTTTGAGGAAGTTCTTACCCTTCAGCTTTTTTGAGTGATTGTCTTTGATCGTCTTTATCCCAGTTGCTGCTTTCCTCCTTCTGCTCTGGTTTTAACCTAAAAACTTGGAGAGAGTGTATAAAAGAGGAATGTGGAGTTAGATATAGGAGGAGTTCACAACACCCATTTCCTCTAAATCCCCCCCCACCCCACACCCCCTCAAATTTGTGGTCTGGACCAACTCAACACCAAAAATAACATTCCTCTAGACTGGCATAAACAAAGAGCATTTACACAAAAGCTGTACGGCAGACATCCAAACTGCATTGCGATCTGGAAGAAAATATAATTCAGTCTCTACTGAAGGATAGAAAGAATCACACATTTGACACACATTTCTCTTGTTTCAATTGTATTTGTATTATTAAAGCCACACTTTAGTGCTGCACATGGACTCATGCTGTTCATCTAGTTGCACAGCTTGGCATGAAGACCTCCACAGTATTTCCAGAGTGAGGTGATTGAAAGGCAGGAAATAAGGGCTGGTTACTTCCCACTTTTCACTGTAAATGTGCAGGAACTCTCAGACCACCCAAGACACATAATAAAGTGTTCAGTCCTAAATTTCATCCTGAAATTTGGTTTCACTGGTTCTGACTGGCTACAGTAAAATATATTTATATATAGTAAATATATTTTTCTTTATTATAATACTAATAATTACATAATAATGTAATACAAGAAAAACATAAATATGCAACACACATCCCAAATCATAAACAATAAGCAGTATGTAAGCATCAAGCAGAAGTTGTGTTGTGCAAAAGTCGATTCAACTTACGTAATTAAAATCTCTCAGCTGGGTATATTTTAATGCTGTTTGTTCATTATGTTGATTGCACTTATTATTATTATTTGCATCTCATAATGATTTTAGTTACTAGCAGCTGCAGAAACAATGATTGCCTATACAAAATTATGAATAGCTTGTTAATTAATCAATAATCAGTTATAGAGGAAGTATTCAGATACTTCACAGCAATACCAGACTATAAAACACTCCAAATAAAAGTCCAGCATTAAAACTTTTACACGAGTAAATGTAAGTATTATTAGCAAAATGTGCTCTAAGTATCAAAAGTAAAAGTACTGAATGCAGGAAAAAATGGCTACTGTGACTATTATAAATCATATTGTGGATTATTATGAATGTTGCATAGCCTCACTGTGTAAGCAGCATTTTACTCCTGTAGTCAATTAAAGTGGTGCTAATATTAACTAGTTATATATATATATATATATATATATATATATATATATATATATATATATATATATATATATATATGTTGGGTAGTTTAATTTATAACAAGAATACTGTAAGCTTATCACAAGTATGTATTTGTATGTAAAATCTTAATTTTTAAAGTAACTGTCAAGTCAAGTTTCTCAATTTTAGGGGAGTAGAGGTATAAAGTAGAAATGGAAGTACTCAAGTAAAGTAATGAGTACCTAATTTTTTTCCTAATAGGACTTGAGTAAAAGAAGTTAGTTAAATTCCATCACTGCCTGTAGTAGAGCTATCCCATCATTTTACTCTACAGATTAGAGGAACAGATTACACAAAATGCCATAATCAAATATGAAATGGATTCTTTTCCAAAGTTTTCCATTTTACTGATGTTTACCAGTGGATTTAAACTATTCACACTGTTAAGAGTCCCATAAGACCCCTTCAAGGATCCGTGGACAACCCACGAACATCACAGTGCGCAGAAGCTCGCACCACCGGACGGGCAGTGATATTTGCTCTAACGTTACGTTCCTGCAGCCTTATGGCGAGTGGATATCGAGTATATATGGTCCAGAGTTTATGGGGAGTTGAGCGCCTGCTTTAATGTTTGTTACGCACCGTTAAAAAATAAGTTATAACCTTTGAACGACGGAAAAACAACAACGGCCGACTCGCGTGTTTACGTCGCGGTGTTTTGGAACGCGAGGCTACGTTCTCAACGACAGTGAGAGTTGAGTTTCGGAAAACGACAAAAGTGAAGTCCAAAAATGTGAGCGTAAACCACGGAGTAAAGCTGTTTATCACCACAGGACAAATGGATCAGTCAGAGGTAATGTTAACGTTAATGGACACATTCTAGCCCTCTATTTTTCTCGTTTACTTCAGGCTAAGTTACTTAACAGCTAGCTAAAACCTAAGACGGAAAGTTTGATCTACTTCACCGCTGCAAATAATGGAATTGTCATTTGGTGAACATGCAGTTTCTTCATTAACTTCAAGGTTGAAAAAATCATCCTAATCCACACTATATCACACAGCATCCTCAGCTTGTTACGGTACCAGCTTTGGACTGATTGAATTCTCTTCTTTTCTTGTTGTTTATTTGTGTCTGCACCAATCCATCAAAAGGAAACGATGTAGATGCCTTGTGCATCATTTAATTCACATTTCCTATTGAATTCATCCTTTGCATCTTCGGAAACGTTTGGATCTTCACTAGACTTTAAAATAAATCCCTGTGGGTTGATTTAAAAGTGTGGTCAGTTAATATTGTGTTTTTTCAGTTAACGTAATTCGTTATAGACGACGCTGAAGTTAGCTTACGATTCGGCAACTTAAGTGAAAGTTAACTTACACTGATGAGCGACTGATTCTCCGTTTTTTGCTCCTCTTACTGCTGTGAAAGCTGTTAGGCATTTTAGGCAAAGCCTTAACGCTGTCTGAAACACTTTTTTAGATTTGAAAAAACTCTATTTTAGGGGAGACCAGGTATGGTTGTAACATGGGGAGAGTTGTAACAACACCAATTCCACCAAATAGAGATAAGATAGGAGTTAGGTGATCATTTCAGTATTTAACTGCTTCACCCCCGATCAGGCATAGTGGTTATCAAGTCTGGAAACTGATTTTGAGGTAAGAAAGTACATTTTTTGACCAAGACTATTTTTTGTTTAATATCCATACTATTGCAGAAAGAATTGTTTGATTTATATTAGATTGAAATATAGTTTCTTAGGCCACATGTGATGCATTTTCTCCTTTCTAATTTCAAACCACTAGGTAATACAGGTAGCTAAACATTGGCTGACAGGGGTGGGGTGGGTTGTAACACTTCTTTAAAAAGTGTTACAACCATCCATGATACATAAAACTAGGTACTTTCTTGATTTTATTATTTTCCAGATTGCCCTATGCAGTCTGGGCCCACCAAACCTGCACTCCAGGGTTACCAGCATTAATTTGTCAGCACTGTGACCAGTCCTCACCTGTTGTACACATGTTGGCGTGTGTATCGTCACTCGACCTTTTCCATACTCGGTCTCCACTGGTGGAGAGGGTAGAAAAGTGTATGGGCAGCTTGTGAGAAGTGCCTGTGCGCAAAAAAAGTCCCGGTACGCCAAAGAGTAAAATATAGAAGTGCAGTGCACTTCAAGCACTGACTATGACTCTAAAGATGTGCAGAGATGTTCTTAAATTAATTACATTGTAGTAGTATTTATTAAGTATACTTTTTAGTAAGTTTATTCTGTAGATAAATTTACATACACATACTGTACATGTGTGAGTCATCAGACAGAGGCTGTTACAGCAAGAGAGAAACATTGTTCTTTTATATAACTACCTGTTTTGGAAGCATATCATATAGTGTGGCATCTATTTTTGATTGTTACAACCTACCCCACTATTGGCGTAGGTTGTAACAAGGGAACACATTGCATTCGACATCAACTCACGAGGTCTGTGATATTCTTCTCTATAAAAATTTGAGAACTCTAGCTAACAAAATTCAGTGAGTTATAGTTACTGAAGCAAAAACTGTTACAACCATACCTGGTCTCCCCCATTTGTGAAAATGACAAAGCGATTTTCAAATTTTTTCCCACATGTAGACCACATTGGACCAGGTCCAGATCAAAGACCACTACACCTAGAGCTCTCAAATCTGGACTAAATTGTCCCACACAGGCTAAGGTTTCTTTAAAACAGAGCTCTAGGTGTAGTGGTTATTGATCTGGACCTGGTCTAATATGGTCCACAAGGGAAAAAAGCAGATAAATCGCTCTGTTTTTCATTTTCACAAATAAAATAAAGTTTTTTTTCAAGTCTAGAAAGGTGATTCAGACAGCGTTAAGGCTTTGCCTTAAATGCCTAACAGCTTTCACAGCAGTAAGAGATGCAACAAATGGAGAATCAGTCGCTCAAGTTAACTTTCACTTAAGTTCCCCTTAACCTTCCCCTTAACTGCCAAATCAGAAGCTGCGAATCGGAAGCTAACTTCGGCGTCGTCCATTCAGTTCATATTAGACCACTTCAGATACACAAGGAAGAAGCAGTTCAACAGAAACATAAGGGCGGTGCCAGCTGTCTCCACAGAAAGAAACAGCTGTTCCCCAAAATGGGCAAACAACTTTAGACACAGCCAAGAGAAGTGTCAGTTATCCCACTCTGGTTCACATTTGCAGGGCATTCAGCAATAAATATTATCATTGCCAGAAAAAAAGGAAGGTTTGTGATCAACTTGATCTTATCCTAAAAATAAATCATCTTTTAATAATGATATCCTGTCCACACAGGTAAAATGTCATATTAATAATAATAATAATAATGCCACATTAGAGATTTAAGTGGAAAGTTGTTCAATTTGTTCTTCAACAATGGAGGTAGTGTGAGACAAAAATCCCTTTTAAACCGTGAGATATGTTGGTTTGTCAGTGACCATTTTCACATGTTGCCCATACTGTCTCTAGGAGGCGCTGGAGCAGATCACTGCATGGTTTAGTGAAGAGGGACTTGCTCCTGACTCGCCTCAGGATGCTCAGCTGTGTTTGCTATGGTGCAGCCTCCAGCACACAAGAAACCGTCTGAGCAGTATGACGTGGGACCTGGACACCCAGCGTTCACAACACTTAGCAGAGATGGCGGAAGTATGTTATCTCTGCCGAATTACCTGTGACATCATGTGTTCTGTGTCTATTAGCATCTAAGACTTTGGCTTTCTGTCTGTTTGTAAGGTACGCAAGTCCTTGGAGCAGATCCGAGTCTTTACACAACACAAAGATGTTTTGGCTCAGGAGATACAAGACGAAAATGATCAGCTCAAGGACCAGCTGCGACGCCTAATATCCCTTCAGGGTTGGACATTTTTACCTGTACACTACCTACAAATAATCCAGCAGCAAGATCTTCTTCTTCACTATGAAGATGTCTTTTAGTCTTTGAGAATTGTTATGTGTTATAATAGATTTACAGCACAGATTTTGAGAAAATAGTACTTTTTTCTCAGGCACTCAAGGCTTCCTACTTTTTGCTTTTCACATTATCATTTACAATTTCTTTCAGTAACAAGCCATGTTAGCTGTCCTGCCCTGTTGGACAATTTACAACATGCAAATTAAAACTCATCCACTGGTTCCATAGAAAAGCTGAGCAACTGCACGCTGCTCTTTAACAGAGGTGGGTTGGTTAACCAGAAGTACATTTGACAAACCAACCAGTTTGTAATGGAGGAATGTACGTCAAACCTATGTCTTTTCTCATGTAAAACCGGAAAGTGTCATGTAAAATACTTCAAATAAAATAAATCAAGCATTTCCCCAGCACCCCCAGCCACGAGGGGTAACAATGACTCCATTCCACATTCGAAAAGAAACTTCGACATGCGACACAAAGGTGAAATTTATGATTTATTTATGTTTTTAAACTAAATGTTTCAGTTTCACAAGAGAAGACTAACTGGGTGGTTTGTCAAATGTCCGTTTAACTTACTTGCTGCTGTTAAAGAGCAGCGCAGAGCCGCTTCCTTTTCTATGGAACCACCCAGGGCTGTCTCCCACACAGTGGATAAGACGAACGGCGCTATCTCGGGGTAGTGGTACTTCTACAGGCAAAGCTCACTTAAACTGACTGCTTTCTTGGGACAAGACCTCAGACACCCTTAGTCCACAGACTTTCAGATTATAAAGCATTATAAATCTTTCACCATTCTCCGTTGTGATAGATGCCCAGATAAGCGAGGTGGCTAAAATGCTGTACCAGCAGGGTCTCACAGAGTTGATTCACAGCAGCCCCAGCGAGCAGGTGGCCTACCTCCTGGTGGAGAGAGCATCCTTACTCGAGACGAGTGAGGTTCCCGACAACCTGACGGGTGATGGAAACACGGCAAGCCCGCTGGGGACTGTAACCCAAGCGCCGAACACCAATGCACACCAGGTTAGAGGACAAACATGCTAGGTTTAATCAGTGCTTTAGTTTCTGTCATTTTCATCTTTATTTGAGCATTAACAGTAAAGACAGTTGGTGTAAAAGTGAGAGACAGGTTATTGTTTATCATTTAATTTGAAAAACTCTCAGCACTCAGGAATGTGCACAAGCAAGTAGTTTCCTTCATATGAGAAAAGAAAGCCAACACCACAGAGAAGTTTTAAGTTTACCCTTTTAAAGCATGTGATCCCTCATGTGTGATGTTTCTGTTCAAACAGCTTATTCTGATTCTTGATTTAATGATGTTCCCCAGCCTTACCACAAGGGGGCACCATGTCATGGCCAGACCCCATGGAAGAGACTATTTGGACTCCACAAAGCTTCACAGAGCAAACATACGTTTATTCCTGTATGTCCTTTCATATACTGTAATGTTACTTCATCCCATACTAACAAACAATAAAAACTGCACTCAGGTCAGTAGGAAAATCAGACGCAATCAGCCACACTGACTTCATTTTGTGCTGTGTTGTCTCACAGTGCATGTTTGAATGTGAGGATCTTTGTGCATGTTTTCCATTCAAAACTATTCAGTAGCATCCACCATAACTGCAAGCTCTTTTTTTTATTCCAGCGTTATTAAGCTCTGTTATCGGTACAAGCTAGGGAACTTTGCATGGCAGAAGAATTTCAAGATACTACACCACTGGTGCATCTTGATCCAGTGCACTTCTCAAGGTCCCTCGTCTCTTCTTGCATGCATTTATTTAACATTCTTGTTTGTTTTCACCGGTTCTTTTCACAGTAACGCAGTCACTTCAGTTGCTCTTTTCCTCTCTCTTTAGGCTGAGGCCAGGCATTTGGCTGGCCAAGCAAGCAGTGTGGAGAGGAAATGTTCCCGGCTGGAGCGGGACCTGGAGGAGGGCTCCCGTCGGCTAGCCATGGCCCACAACGAGATCCGGCGTTTGACTGATGAGCTGGAGTCTGCTCATTTGACCCAAAGAGCCTATGGTGAGAGATATTTATTAGCATTATCAAAGAGATTTCATGGCAATAATACTGTAGCAAGCTTTCACCACTATCTCAGTGCTTCCTCTTTTTTCATGTATCATTAAATCAAGGCGGTCGCCTCTGCTAGAAAAGAAAACATCAAAAAATTTCTGTAAAATCCTCAAAAAATATTGTATATCACTAGCTTTCAGAAGTTATTTTACCATCATACAATATCCAAACATACTCGGAAGTTTTTACCAGCTTCCACTGCTCTAAATTGAAAATGAGACTCTACCAGCAACTTTGTGAAGAGTACTGTGAAAACATCTGTGTTTATTCTAACATCTATTATTTTTTTTAGAGCCTGAGCTGGAGGCAGCACAGCAGGAGGTAGAGCAACTCAGACAGGAAGTAGAAAAACTGAAGAAATACGGTGAGAATTATTTTGTCATGTGTATTCATGAAGCTATTACAATTCCCCACAGCTTAGGTTCTTTCTTTTTTCTCTTGAGATTATTCCAGCATGCACTGTGTGAGAGGCAAGGGACACCTTA